TGGGTTTGTCTCTCCATTTCCCCGCTGAGCTTCGCCCTCCCCAGTGTCCTACTTACAGGTGCTTGGTAAGCAGTAAAGGTAGCCAGATGGGATTTAACTGCCAATCATTATGTTCAATATGTTTTCAATGGTCTCTAATGATTAGGGGATCCAACTCCAATCCCCATCTTCATTTGTGATTCTCAAGTTAGAAAAGTCGTCACAGCCCTGGCCGGTTGGCACATCCCCCGTCCACCACAAGGTTGCCATTTGTTTCTGGTCACAGCAGATATATAGGTTGCAGTCCAATCCCCCATTGGGGCACCTATGGGAGATTGTCTCTCACATCAATGTTTCTCTGTCTCTCTCACTTCCCCTCTCTCTAAAAACCCATGAAAATATATCCTCAGGTAAGGAGAAAAAAAGAAATAAGTTTTCACGTGTAACCTAATCAATGCAGGTGTGGCTTATTGCAGATGTATCTTGCTTTAAGCAAACCCCATATTTGAAAATCTGAATTTATCCAACAATATCTTAAGGAGTGATTAAGTTCACTTTATAAAGGGGATATTTGCCTCAGAGAAGATGTAGTCATAAGACTGCTTTCTAGCGTAGACTTCTACTGTATTGAAAGTGTCATTCGATTTCCACGGATATTCTCTACATATGACCCTTCATGACCATCCCTACTACGGGTGGCAGAGTTGGTGCTAAGGATCCTCTGCCTCTCACCCCGCAGATCTTGGCTTGTTGGCCCTCAAAGGCCATCTGCTTTACTTTTACATAATGTGGCGTGGTGAGGGGTGGAAAGGGCCCGCTGCAGAAGGCCAGCGTCCAAGGCAAAGCAAGGCTCTGGTACAACGAACAGAACAGGGGATTGAACATCTTGCCAGCCACAGGATGTGAGGCAAGCTCGGCCTCCTAAACACCCAGATTTTCAGTTTATGAAAAAAAGAGAATAGTGCCTGGATGCACCTGCTTCTGAAGGTTCGCGTAACAATCAAATTGTTAAACTATTTTAAAGTGTAAGGTGCTACACTAATAAATTCTCTTTTTCCAAGCAAGTCGAATCCACAACACGCCGAGAACGCCGCGCCAGTCTGCCTGCGGTGGGAGCAGCTATTTGCCCTACAATCCACTCAGTGGGCTGGAAATCCCTCCCGACAACTCTTTCTCATTTTAGCTTCCTCCGTCTTTGTTGTTCTTCCCTTAGTTCCAAATCTCCCAGCACTTTCTCTGCACAGTAACATCAAAGCCTGTGCCCGGCCCCTCGGAACCACCCGTTTGTCTCTCCCTGACACGCTGGCTGAGATGAGACGTCGAAGCCTGTGCCACTCTCACTAAGGCAGCGCAGTTTGTGGCAGGGCCAGCCCGCGCTTCTCTGTATCCAGCTCTGCCCATGCCTGTGTCCTTACGCAGCCGGCCTCTCTGCTACATTCCTGCCATCTGTCCTTCTTTGTCCCTCTCAGCTACTCCCCTCGGCTTTGCTCTATTTCGGTTTCTCTTGGTGGTTTACCAGAACCCCTCGTTGTTTAAGTGTGCACCCATTTTCCTCCCCGGGAACTTACACAACAGAGTTCCAGAGGACGTACCTTAAATAGGATGTAACGGTCATCAGGCAAGGCTGATGCGTGTGTGTTTGCCTTCCCTTCGTTTTAAGTGACTTACAGAACCGACCTGTCTTTTTAGGCGGAGGGCCTGGCATAACCACTGGCAGTTCTCAACTGTGTGATGTCATAGTACAGCCGCAGTCACAGCTGTATCCTGGGGCTCCCTCCTGAACGTTCCGCAGTTACCTCTGCTCTCTATCTTTCTCCCCAGGGCTCCCCCTCATCTTCTATCTGGTGTCCTCAGGAGTAGCATCTCCATTCACCCCGTCAAGTTATTCCAGAATCTCAGAACTATTTCCCACCGTTATTTCCATCATCCAGCCAGTCACTGAATCCTACCCTTTCTATTTTCTGAGCATCTCTCAAACCTATGTTAGTTTAGACCGCTTTCCTACTTCATCTGGAATATAATGACATTTTCTTCTGGCCTCCTGGCTTTTCCCTCACCAGTTCCTGCGAAACATTACTCATGGAGCTGCTTTCTAAAGAATCCGTGTAGCCTCCTCTGCTTGAAAATTCAGCTTAAAGAAACTCATAAAAAAAGATGATGCAGGCTGTCATAAAACGTGAATAGTGTGGCACTCAAGGATCTTCATTCTCTGGCCCCAACCTCGCAAGGCCTCTCCCCTGCAGCGGTCTCGTCCTGGGGGAGCCACGCTCACGCTCGCCTCCCTTCCCTTGCCCATGTAGCTCTCTCTGCTTGGAGCATCCCTCCCCCTTCCTTGGTTTCTAGGCTTCAAAATCCACCTACTTGAAGCTCTGCCCATACCTCTTTCATGAGTGGCAACTACTTCTACATCACCTATGGTGTAATTATGTGGGGGTGGGTTGCTTTCCTTTCCTACTTAAACTCAGCAGCTCTTTCATCTTTATCTGGCACATGGTACACACTCAAGAAAGGGTTACTGAAATTAATACGTGCTGAATAAAATAACTAAAGAAAAACCCCAGACATCTAGAAGCGCGCCGGCTTTGCTGCATTAAAGAAACAGGGCTCAGGAGTAAAGAGAAAGGACTAGTAATCTGGCTACAGCCAACACGTGAACAGGTTGTTTGTTTTTAAAAGCTAAGTGGTTTAGGGAGGGAAGGGGGAGAAGAAAGTACATTTTAAAGTTCTGGCTCCAGGGCAAGCAATAAAAATCGTTGCTTTAATGTTTTTTTCATAATATTGTGAGCAATGAGAAGGTCTATTCCATCGCACCAGCCTTCAGGGCCTAAAATTCCAGCCTCCTGAGCTAAATCAAACTGGCATCAGCTCTCCGTTTCTCAGGTGGCCGCAATCGGTCTCTGGCTTCCGCGAGGCTAAACCTGACTGACAAAGGAGAAGCAAAAGAATTTCCCACTTATTTTATGAGCCCTTCCTTTGCTCTTGCTGGGTAATTATATGGGTCCTGGAGACGTATCTGGCCTTCTTGTCCCTGCGTTACAGGGGTGCAGGCATCGTTCCTTGTCTGCATTAGTTGACTTTCTTACAAAGAAAGCGGTTGGTGAGTGGACATGAGCCTGTGCAGGCACATAAGAAGGTACATTGCTTGGTATCATCCGGGAGCACAGCATCCTGCTCATTGTATATTATATAACTTTATTGTATTTTATTTAATATGTGATAATTTTACAACAATTTTAGAATAAATTCAAATATTTAACATTAAAAAAGAGGTAGGGAGGTAGCACCAAACCAAGGACACCAAGCTAGCCCAAGAAACAACACTGCTTGCTACTCATAGTTCAAAGCCCTTAAGTGCCACTCACTATGTGAGCTCTTGATGTCACCCATTTTATACCTAAATTGGTAAATTTGAACAGGTTTAAAATTAGGAAGCATGTGCATCTAGGTCAAAGTATCAAAGTCTACCCGAGTCCTAATGGAACTCAACAATTTTCAAAGTGATATAAAGACCAGTCAGTTCTCTGTAATTCGATCTTAACCCTTCCGCACCAGGCTCCCATCCAAAATTCACTTACCCACAATGCCCCAGAGTTTGCGTGTGTGTATCTATATCTCGTGGAACACAAACAGAGACCACATTCTCCAACTCACACAGACTTTCCCTGGGTCGTCTCTCCGTTTGGGAGAAACTCCGCCTCCATCTGTCTGTGCTTTGAGTACCTTTCTCATTTTCCAAGCACCGTTTCCACTTAGGAAGGTTGACTAGGGATTAAAACAGTACTTAGCTCTTGGGCTTATACTAAGAATTAAATGGGGCAATATAAGTAAAAATATACATACAGCAATGGTTGGTGGGCGGTCAGTGCCCCATAAGTATCAGCTTTGTCACATTCCATGCATGAAAGCATGTGATCCTATATCTGGCTCTTTGGGAAAGGAGTCCAAGAAAGTTGGTTTCTTTCACCAAACACTACATTTGGCTCCATGTCTCCCAACAGACTTGAAATAACTGAACTAGGTAACATTAATTTTATTTAACTTAAAACTTTTGGGGTTTTGTTTTTGTTAAATATAGTATGCAAAATACATTTTAATATGTGTGCAGAATGACTTTTTAAGTGCTTTTTAAAAATCTCTAAGGTCCTTCCAGCTCCAAAATGCTGTGATCTATGATAACTAATCTCAAATGCATGCAAATTAATAGTGTTTTAATTCCCTGGATATAATGGAAATATATGGTGCTGTCAGGCTGAGTTGCATGGAAAAGCAAGTTAGGCCCGGGACTGGGAGCCTGTGACAGTGCAGGATAAAATGCTGCCGGCCTTTCTCCCCACAGCCAAGGGTCAGTTATTCTTGTCTTGAGCTCCCAGGTCCTTTCGAAGCCGATCTGGAGAGAAAGAGGCGTGCACTGCAACTGCAGAGAGGAAAGGAGGCCACCACTGTATAGATTGCCAAGCAGAGCAGCTGACCTAAACGGAGCTCCACAAGTCACCTGCCATCTCACCCTTTACCCCTGATAAAGGAGAGGATCCTAAAAGTCTAACTCAGGAAGGGGCCCCGCCTGAGATTAAGAAACTGAGAACTAAAGAGATCAAGTGACAAGTCCGAAGTCATCGGCTTTTCCGGAACCTGGGCCTGGAGGCCTAGAACTGACGCAGTGACCAACCATGGTAAAAGGAGTCTCGACCTACGGAACTTCCAAAGTGTCCACACACAGGTAAGTGTCTCTGTCCCTCTCTGGACTATGTATAATCAGCCTTCTGTCACCCGCAAACCAGCTGGTACCGCCTTGGGAAAACAAGACTCTTCCTAACCCTGAATTCACGAGAAATGTCTGGCTTTACCAACAAGTTACTAAAAGCCTTCATGCAGTTCTTCCTTTAGATTCACCCTTATCTTTGAGATACATTAAATGATATTACGGTGACAATGATTCCCCCAAAGCCCAAAGGAGAAAACAAAACACAGGCCAGAAAAGGCCTGGGCGTCTTTGAAGGAACACATATAGGAAACTACCTAACTGGGAACAGGCGGGGTGCTTCTGTGACTGTAGAACGCTGGCTGCGTGGCCACAACGCTATGGCTGCATTTACAGAAGCACAACGCTTGCAGCTTTGGGGAAACTGTCCCAGAAGAGGCGTGCAGGCCTGTGCCCACCGGCTCCCCTCGCGGGCCTGCACCTGCCCGGCCCGTCACCCGCGCTCCGCCTCCCGGGCTCAGCTCGCCTCTCCCGCGCGGCCCTCGCGCCTGCGGTGACGCGCGGGTCCTGCTGGG